ATTTGGAAAGAGGTTTTTTTTTTTTTTTTTTTTTTTTTTTTTAATACTTGTTCTTGGTTTATTGATTATTTTTATTGTCATTACCTCATTGTAATTTTACTCATTTTTTTTACTGGACATTTATTTTAGCATACAATGTGTGTGATACTTGACTCGTCTCAATAATTTTTATTTTTTATTTTTTAAAAGAAGAAGAAGAAGAAGAAACGTTGAATAAACAGAAAATATAATATATAGAAAAACAACTATATAAGCAGCAAAAATTAGACATACATTATAGAGTAATAATGCTACATAAACTTCCTTTATTTTACTTACACTCTTTTCCTCCTGACGTGGTATTGTTTAATTGGGTTAATTATTACATTTTTTATTTAGTGGTGTGGCCTTTCAATTCATAGGCACCCAACGAATGAAAGCCACATCATGAGGCGTAAGAAGTATTTTCTTTCATTATAATAATAGGAAAAATCTATGATATTGATAGATATTAGTCCCTATTATACTTAGTACAAGCCAACAAGCTAAGTTTTGTTCAAAACTTATATTTTAGTTTGTATACAACATTCGGGCAAATTATGATGTGGAACCATGTTCACTTCTAATACTGTTCATAATTATGAATATATAGTTAAAAATTATGAACATAGAGTTGTGAACATAATTATGAATATAGAGATTCAATAATTGTGAATATGAAGTTCACAAATCATGAATATATAGCTTTATAATTATGAGCATATAATTCAATAATTATGAGCATAGAGTTCTGTAATTGTGAGTATAGAGTTCAATAATTATAAATATGAAGTTCAAAAATTATGAAAATATAACTTTATAATTATGAACATAGCTTTTTTTGAAGACAAAATGTTAAATTTTAATATGTAAACAAACTACTTTAAATTTTTTGAAGATGTCATTTTTAGTATTTTTATATTTATTAGCTTATCACAAAGCTAATTTTACCAAACACTTTCAATTATAACAGCTAGCTTGACAGCTTTTAGTTTTCAGCTCCTAACTTATAACTTAGCTCCGAGCTTATAACTTTTCAGCTAGGTTTGCCAAACAGAACCAATTAAGTTGTGTAGTTTTGCAGTAATTTTTGTGAAGTAAAAGGGGATGGTACGTAGTTAGTTTGAAATCAGGAAACAAAGGAACAATTAAGGCTGTAATTTCTAGTACGGACTTTATTCATACATGTTATATATGAGTAAAAGTTGAACAAAAACAAAAACCATGAAAGTTACGGACTAATGTAAAACAAAACATCACTGATCTATGGCCGTGCAATTGGATAATAATACGAATAAACATTATCAACACTACTGGCGATGGTAGCAAACTCTGTCTGCACAATTATGTGCATTTCAGATATAATTTCATTATCTACTCGCTGCTGTCACGTATACACAACTGTACGTGCAGTAATAATACTACTAATTACCAAAACATTCAAATTTATTGCGACAATTACACGCATATATGAAAACATTGTAATGATGCGCATATACAAGTATACTTATACATCAAGTAAAATTATGGAAACACGATACGTGCTTAGCTCATTGGTTCAGTAAACAGTATTTGAGAGGAAAAATTAATGTTTAGATCTTGACATTGACAGTGTGGAGATTATGTCCAAAGTGGATAGATTTATTGTGCATACCGGCATTTGGTCATATATATTAAATTAGTGAGCTACCGTGATTTACATCCCCCAAATACTATGTTGAGCTGGGTGTGGGGCCTTAGAGTAGGGGATTCAACATTTTGGGAGAAGAAAATTATGAAACCACTTTTTAACAAATAAGCAGTTTTAAGCCGTATTCATAACCGCCCGTAAGGAATGGAGGTCTACCCCTCCGGCCTTTCTCTGGATGTACTTTATTCAAAAAAAGAAAAAAAGAAAAAGCAGTTTTGTATTTTTTTTTTTTTAAAAAAAAAACAATTGTGTTTCTTAACAAAATAAAATGTGTTTTAAGGGTCTAATTGATAAACAATGTTTAATTATGATCGAAAGAAGTGTAAGTTTTTTGTTACTTAAAAAAATATGGCAATAGTGACAAAGAAGTTCCATTACAAAAAATTATAATTTCGACTCAAAATGATTGTTACACGTACATACATTATATGACTATCACATCCGGTCAAATCATAATATATGCAAGATAAAAGTTGGGGAGGCGGTAAATATATTTTTAAACTTTTTTATTTTTTATTTTTTATAAATTAAAGCACAAGAGCTTGTACGTGCATAGCATGTATAAATCTTTTGCTTGCCTTATGTTGTTTAAAATACACAACTTAGTTTTTAAGAACATTTTAAAGATTAGTTAAAGAATGGATTAAAATACACAACTTAGTTTTTAAGAACATTTTAAAGATTAGTTAAAGAATGGACTGTGCAAAGGAAAATGACAACTAAATATGTAAATTAACACAGGTAGTGTTAGAAATTTTAGCTAAAATCACATTTTTGAGTGGTTATTTTGTAGTATAAATATATGTGGTGTCCACTTTCAATTTGGGTCAGATTATAGTGGATTCGATTTTTTGCAGTGAGACAAAAAATCGATATATTGTACACTCAAACTGGTTTTAAGGGTATAATAATAATCACCTTCTCATCGGCAAATTATATTGGACCATGGTCCAAAACAGTGTCGTTTCTTTTAATGAAAATAAACGGCACCCGTTTCGCGTAAAGTAGCTTTATTTGTATAATATATTCAGTTTCATTTTATATACATTGTAGTTTCATTTCAACACAACTACAGTTTATTTTGTTCCAACTACAGTTTCATTCGAAATTATATATATACAATAGCCTTATTACAGTGAGACATGTTATTGAATTTCATTTTATACACACTGTAGTCTTATTACAACACCATTAACTTATAATTCTAATTCAACGACTACGATTTCATTGGACAATATACACCCAAATATGAGAAATTGTTATTCAGTTTTATTTTATGTACAGTACTGTAGTTTCATTACAATACAACTACAATATAATTTCGATATAACTACAGTTTCATTTAACAATATAATATAAACTCAAATATGTGAAACTGTTATTCAGTTTCATTTTATATATACAATATATGTAGTTTCATTGCAACACAAACTACAATTTATCATTTTGATATAACTATAGTTTCACGGGACAATAAACACTCAAGTATGTAAAACTGTTATTCCGTTTCATTTTATATATACTGTAGTTTCATTACAACACAACTACAGTATTATTTTGATAAAACTACAATTTTATTGGAAAATAAACTCTCAAATATGTGAAACATATTATTCAGTTTCATTTTATATATATTGGGGTTTCATTTCAACACAACTAAAGTATCATTTCAATTCAATTACAGTTTTATTTGATAATATAAAGACAATATGAAAGATAATTTTATTTTAGATAGACTGTAGTTTCATTTTGTTATGAACACACACACACAAAAAAAAAAAATGGGCTCTGTTAAAATGTAACGGCAGCCAACGCCGAAGGCTAGACCGGTGCTCACTGCGCACAAGGAGCCCCCCTCACTTTGAGAGGTTGCTCCCACACTGTCGCTGGTGAGACTTAATCCCTGGTCATTCTTCCAAAGTTTCACCTCTATAACCAGTTGAGCTACTCATGCGAGCTTGTTGTTATTATTATTGTTATATGGAAGGGTTACCCGGTCGACAGGCCGAACCTTACAAAATATTCAGATGTATCGGCACACTTTTTTGCTTTTTGTTTTTGCTAAAAAAAAAAAAAAAAAAAAAAACTCAAGCTACGGCAGTGAATAAATAAATCAGTGGTAAATTTATAAGTATTGCTTTTTTAGCTGAAAATTCCACTTTTGATATTTCAATTGTTATGCATTATGACATCTTTTAATTTTTTTGAAATGTAGTCTTTAATAAATTGTTAATATTTGGAATTTGGATCAGAGGGAGGGGGTCAACCAAAATGCTAGACTAATTAATGGCGTCTAATTATAATGGTTCTTCAATTAACACTTGAATATAATGATGGGATATAACTCTGCTAGATAGCTAGCTCTACAAGACAATCTGCAACATGATTCTACCCCTTGAACACATACTTGATTTGAGATCAACATCTCATTCCTTAGTTTGCACCTCTTAATAATATTTCTTAGGCGGCAATGTGGAAGTATGCATCCCTTAATCCAGTTAATATGTTGTCAATTTAATCTTTTGAAAATAAATTTAGGCGGTGTTTGGTAAATAATTGTTAACTGATTGGGTTAGTGAGTTTGACTAGTTGATAGCATTAGTTGATTGTAGAAAGATGTTTGGTAAATCATCTTTTAGTTGATAGCTGATTACATGCAAAGTGATTTTCTCAAAACGTTGTTTTGAGCAGCTTTTTGAATTTTAGCATTTTATATTAGAGCAACAAGTTGTTACAAAAAAGTTAATTAATTAAACACTCATATTGATTGTTTAACCAAATCAAATAGCTAATAATGGTCAAATAAGTCAAAATTAATTGATAAACTAACTATGTTACCAAATAGCGCCTTACTCGACAACATTTTTTTTTTTTTTTTTTGTATTTTGTATTTCCTCATTTATGAAAAAAAGACTCTACCTAAGAAACCCTAAACAAAAACATTGTCTAGCAGTTACGTTACTAGAGAAATTAAATTGACAACTCACTAAATAATTGAGAGACTATATTAAAAAAAAAAAATTAACAAAGAAAAATAATGTTATATATTTCAGAACGCTGAAAGGTGCGATTTTCTGTTTTCTTACTTGAAGGTGTCCAATATACCTCCAAAACGTCTTAATTACACTTACTCACTTAGCTAACCTAGTTGTTAAGGGTTAAATCAAATGCTAATTTTTGCTAATATTCTTTATAATGATTGCAAGGTTGATGCCAGCTCAAATTATAAAAATAAGGTAAAAAAATATAGTATTTAAAAAGCCTGTGCTTACTGCTAATATAGTAAAGGAAGAAGAAAATAATAGAGCGAAGGAGAAAAAATGAAAAAAGATGACCTAAAGGAGCTCTCCCAAGGTCCCATGCCATGTCTTCTCAGCTCCCCCATCATTTGATCTCCCGTCTCCGCCATTAGCAACCACCACCTTCTTCCTCCTTTCTTCAATCTTCTTATTATTCACCGTTAGATTTTCATATCATTTCAAATTTTCAATCATGATGTCATCCGGCGATCATCAAGGGAGGGAGTTAGGGGAGGGGTCGTCATCGTCGTCTTTGAGACCGGTGGCGGCGGCGGTGGTGCTGCCTCCTCAGCCGGTGCAGCTCAGCCGCTACGAGGCGCAGAAGCGCCGCGATTGGAACACATTCGGGCAGTACTTGAAGAACCAGCGGCCGCCGGTTCCACTTCCCCGCTGCAATTACAATCATGTCCTGGATTTCCTCCGGTACCTCGATCAGTTCGGGAAGACTAAGGTTCACTTACAAGGCTGCATGTACTTCGGGCAGCCGGAGCCGGCGGGGCCCTGTACTTGTCCCCTCCGCCAAGCGTGGGGCAGCCTGGACGCGCTCATCGGCCGCCTACGCGCCGCCTTCGAGGAGAACGGCGGCTTGCCGGAGAGCAACCCCTTCGCCGGCAGCGCCATCCGCCTCTATCTCCGTGAAGTTAGAGATGCTCAGTCTAAGGCCCGAGGAATCCCCTACAAAAAGAAGAAAAAGAAGAAAAATAATGCCCTCCCGAAGCCTAATAATGACGAAACGCCCAGCTTCCAGATGCAATCCTCTTGATCTCTCCCTCCGGCTTTCAGGGCGAAAATGGTAAAACTCTTCCTCTCATCTCCTCCCTTCTATTAATTAATTAATTAATGATGTTAATTAGCACGAAGCTCAGTTTTCTTAATTCATATAAATATAGTAATTAATAATATTCTTTTCTTTTCGGATTAAACTAAACTAAAATGTTTTTAATGTAAGGTTTTTGCTTCTTGCAGACAAGAACATTAGATCTAGCTACTATGAACTTCACACTTCTCCTCGATGAACCCTAAAATCAGAGTCCAAAAATCCTAGATCTGCATTTCCTTTTATTTTATATTTTTCTCTTTTTATTTTATTTGGGAGAGGGGTGTTGATTTTATGTGCATATATTTATATATATGTATGCTTCACCTCTATGTCTGAACTAAATATGATAAAATTTTGTGTAATCTTTAATTTGTCTGGTTTTATGATATGATGTTGGCTAGCTTGCTGCCATGTATGCCCATTATATTCCATATATATAATATAATATTAGATGAATAATCAGTTCTTCATTCAATTCATTGATCTTGTTATAATATAATGGGATTTTGATTTATTGATTTTCAACAACATTAATTAATAATCATTCATCAAAGCTTGACTTTATGTTTGCTAAACGACTTGCAAACACCATAGCCCATCTGTTGGCTCGGAATACCGTTTTCAATCCTGGTGGTAGGGAGTGGACAGATAGCCCTCCTAATTTCCTTTCTGTTCCTTTATTGGTTGATGTTTAATTTCTTAATGAAAGTCCCAAGTTTATTTCAATAATAATAATAATAATGATCAATCCAAGCTAAGGTTTGAAGTCTATGGTTTCATGTTGTGAGATCTTATAGCTTAAATGCAAGAAAATTATTCCAGTTCTCACATATATACCATTAATGTGTTTTGTTGTTCCCCTCATATCCATACATTGAAATATATCATATTATCTCATCATAACTGGATTATATAACATTTTGTGTGGACTGAATCACAACAATACTTTTATACCATATATAGATATGCATAACCACCGCAATATTTAGTGTGTGAGTTCACAATACCAGGACATATATATTTCACCGACAAAAGACTAAGAGTTAAAATATAAACACAAAGGAAAGGACTAACTTTTATAAACTCAAATGTCATGAAATGTCATTTTCTTAGCTTTAATTGGTGTTTGTTTGTAGCTATATAGTGATCTATGATATAATATAATTATTGTGATTGGATGAATATATTATGCCCCAGCTAGCTTAATTGGACGGTTCATGCAATGTTGTGGTGACTGGTGACTAGCTATAGCTAGTAGTAATAATATTTTTAGTAGTAGGAGTATTAATCAAGCATGATCAATTAACCACGTACAATTATATTTTGTAATACAACATTGGCAACAAATGATTCCAAGGTTATAGTACATTTTTGTTCCAATTAGGAAGTTTCAATCACATGTATGCATTAAACCCCTAGACCCCACTGTACCTAATTAACCACTCCTAGCAACCTTTAATTTCGTAACTCCACACCCATAACTTACAATTACGTCAAAAGTTATAGTTCATAGCAAATGCGCAATTTTATTTTCCTATGTCGCCACCCGCCATATTTTCGAGAGGCAAGTCGGGTGCGGGACTTGGTCCTTCAAGTATCCGTCCAACAATCCTCATCAAGCTCTTACCATTACGTCAAAAGCTATAGTTCATAGTAAATGTGTAACTTTATTTCCCTATACCGCTACCCGCCACAGTTTCGAGAGGCAAGCCGGGTGTGGGACTTGGTCCTTCAAGTATCCGCCCAACAATCCTCATCAAGCTCTTACCATTACGGCAAATAAAAGCTGTAATTCATAACAAATGCGCAACTTTATTTCCCTATACCGCCACCTGCCACAGTTTCGAGAGGCAGGCCGGTTGCGGGACTTGGTCCTTCAAGTCTCTGCCCAACAACCCTCTAATCATCTGGTGTTTGACTTGGTCCTTCACTGGCCTCTGTCCAACAATAATAATAAATGTATAACTAAACTTTAGTTAAAATGAAACGCACCATTCAATTTGTTATAGAGCATGAGAAGTTATGAGTTCTAATCTCTCTAAGGGGAAGAAAGTAGCTAGGATGAAATCAAATTAAAGTTGCAAAGGGAATCGAGTGTGGTCAATTAGGTTTCTTGTCTGTGCCCTATCTTCTTGTTATTCTATTTGTGTTGTGTATTGTTTGCATGGAATTAGTACGACAACTTGGGTAGCTGCTGCATGTCTGCCTGTCTGCCTGTAGGACTTTGTACTTTGTACATGTTTGAATCAAAATAATCAGTGGTGTACGTGGCTCCAATTTATTACTACTTTTTCTTTTATTAATTAAAATCAACCGAAATAAATTACTGCATATTTATTTCAACAAATCAAATATGATCGAACACAATTAAAGATAAGATATTATAAATCTAAATAAAATCATAAGACGAGTTTCACCCAAAATACACTTGTATAAATAAAAAATATTATGAACTAATTAGTTATCATTTATTATAATATTCAAAGATTTTGATTTGCTATATTTACAATAATATAATTTTATTGCGGTATGCCTTATTTCTTAATTTAGAAAGGAATGTCTGGATTATATATTTGCTTTACACCTTTCAGTATTTATTGGACAAAAACAGAAGTAATGTGAATTTTTTTTATATTTAATTATAATAAATCTCTCATTTTCCACTGTTGTATGTGTTGTCACATTTGTCATGTTGCGGGTCATTTTTTTTTTTTTAATTTTACATAATTTAATGTGAGGTTGGTTAAATATCAGTATTAGTTGGTGTCTTGGTGGATGGTGGCATACTAACATATATAGATGGTACTTATATATATCCGGGCGGGCGGGGCTCTTTAGTTTTGCAAATAATAGACGAATTGAATAGTGATATGATTACCAGAACTATGTGGTCCAATGGTATCCGGGTTGGACTTCCACTTGAAAGGTTGTGAGTTTGAGCCTCAGTGGAGGTGTTATTAGCTCTTTGTGTTTCAATAGGTTATGTAATAGAGCTAGTAGCATTCAAAAAAAAAAAGAATAGTGATATGATTCTTGTAATGCAATGCATTTATTTCCCATCATTTCTTATCAGCTTTTTTGAGAGACAAGAACCTTGCTTGTCCTTCTCTTTAATTTTGTTTTATTTTCTATTTGCCATCATACTATACTGTGGTCTTCTCCCTCAACAAAACTTTCATACCAACTGCGACTTTTCACAACCACTTTAATTTTTTCCCCCTTCAAATGCTAAAATTTTAATAGGAATAAGGTTCAAATTAGCCACTGAACATAACATGAAAATGCAATTAGGTCATTGAACGAAAAAAAAGTGCAATTAGGCCATTGAACACTCCAAATGTATGCAATTTCACCTGATAGCAGGTTACCATCAATTTTAGCAGGTTACCTGCTTACATAGCAGCTGAGTTGACATTTTTAAATAATTTTTAATAAATTTTAATAATAATAGTTTTAAAATAATTAAAAAAACGATGGTAAGCAAGTAAAATTTAAAATTTAGGAAAAATGGCACTTTTTCCCCCTTTGTTATATACTTATAGCACTTTTTCCCCCTAAATTATTTAAATGGCAGTTTTTCCCCCTGGTATATTAAATGGACATATTTACCCTTAAAATAAATATTTCATTTATTTTTCTTCTCCAACAAATTATAACCACGATTTGAAAAAATAAAATACATTAAGTGTTGAATTTAGAATATTTTAAAAATAAAAAAATAAAATTTTAAAAGAAAGTTTGAACCAACCGTTCAAATTGGATCCAAAATTGTGAACCGACGGTTCAAAATAAAACTCAAACCGCGATTATATATACTTATATGTGAGAGTCAATATAAATGCGAAAAAAAAAAACATACACTATTTTCAAATATTATAATTCTAATTTAAGCTATTGCTAGTAGTTATTCCGATTTGAACCTCCGGTTCACGGTTCAGGATATATTTTTTTCCAGTTCACGATTTTAATAAACGGAAACCCAAATATTGGGTTATGTTATGAATCATAACCGAAATTTTTTAATTTGATTGCTATAGTGTTTGGTTCAGTTCGAACCGAACCGTGGTCATCTCTACGTATAAGCAATAATTTGTTGAAGAAGAGAAATAAATAAAATATTTGTTTTAAGGGTAGAAATGTCCATTTAATATTATCAGGGGGAAAAACCGCCACTTTTATAATAATTGAGGGGGCAAATGTGAATGCATGAATAACTCAGGGGGAAAAACTGCTATAAGCATATAACACAGGGGGAAAAAGTGCCATTTTCCCTAAAATTTATTATTAAAATTTATTTTAAAAAATTAAAATTTATTATTAAATTTACTTTAAAATTTATTAAAAATTATTAAAAATGCCAACTCAGCTGCCACGTAAGCAGGTAACCTGCTACAATTGATGGTAACCTGCTATCCGGTAAAAATGCATACATTTGGAGTGTTCAGTGGCCTAATTGCACGTTTTTGGTGTGTTTAGTGGCCTAATTGCACATTTTTTTTTTGTTCAGTGGCCTAATTGCATTTTCAGGTTACGTTCAGTGGCCAATTTGAACCTTATTCCTTTTTAATATAGCAATACTATAAAGTGCACCAGTAATATATGAGTAGGGGTAGATCCAGATGGAGGGAGGGAGGAGGGCAATGGGGCGGTTGCCCTCATCCCCAACCCCTATATATATATACTAGTTTTTTACGCGCATTGCGCGATTGGGATAATGCCCAATGTTTTTTTTTTTTTTTTTTTTTTTTTAATAAGTACTTTAAGGTATATCAAGACAAAATTATATTGGAATTGTTCATGCATAGATAATTGAATGTTGAATTTGTGTATTTAAATAGGCAATTCTAAGTTTAAAAATGCAAGATAATATAGTCAAAGATTGATTATAATTGTCACTAAAATAATTGTATAAGTATGGTTGAAATCAAATACGGGACATAAGGGAGAGCAAATAAAAATTAGGGCATAAAATATTAAATATATACTAATATTGAAGAGCTTACTGCTGATTGTCAAACAAGGACACTTCAATTTGTTGTGTGATTTGAATACTCTTTTTGTCAATAAATCGCCCAAGTAGTTAATATGATTGGCTTAATTATTATTATTTTTATTTTTCTAAAACAATTATTATTATATATTATTATTATTAATAAATATATGTATACCCTTAGGTCATTTTACATGTTAATCTAAACAGTTAATTTTTTCAAATATCTTTTTACCAACCGTTGATATAATTCGATGGTCAAATCCGTTAATATAATCCGCTAACGCTAACCGCTAACTGCTGATTGTTAAACAAGGACATTGCGAGGTAATTCTCACTTCAATTTGTTGTGTGATTTGAATACTCTCTTTGTC